GTGCCTGTCCTGGATCTTGCCCTGTAGACCAGGCTGGCCTCGAACTCACAGAGATCCACCTGGCTCTGCCTCCTGAGTGCTGGGATTAAAAGAGTGCACTACCACCACCACCGGCAAAAAAAAAAAAAAAAAAAAAAAAAAAAAAAAAAAAAAAAAAAAGCTCCATTATCTCTTAACTCTTACTGACACCTTTAAGGGATGGATGCACTCCCCGCCTCCAGGGAAACAGCAGATGTGACAGCTCAGGTGCTCCTGAACACATCATCCCGCAATTTGTTGTGCCATTCCCCCCCTCCCCAAGCTCCTGGGACATCAATGCTACAACCTGCCTTTTCTGCCTCCTCAAGGAACAGATGCCTGAGATCTCCAGGATGGCAGTTAACTCAACGCTTCTTCACCCACACCTCCTGCTGAGCATGACCCCGCTGACCCCTTGACTCTCCCCTCTCCACATTGTCCCATGCCTGTAGGAAATGACCAGACTTGAACCGGTGCTCATATACCCAAGGAGTCTGGGATGTTTAGGTGGAAGCCCCACCTTGGCCCCACCTCTCTCTCCTCCAGACCCTGCCCCAAAGAAAACCTACTAGGCAGTGGCCCCTCCTCTGGAGCTGCCCTCCCATTCCAGACCCTGCCCCTCCCAAGGCCCAGCAAGGGTCAGCTCCTCCCACAGGGCTGCTCAAGACCACACCTACAGGCTATTTAAGACCTGTCACGTGCTCCCTCTCCTGCCCCGCCCCCCAGAGTCACCCGGAAGTTGCTTTGCTCTGTTTATTAAACCTGGACTTATTAATTTGTCCTGACCTGATTTATTGCATCAGCAGAGAAACCCAGTACTAGGGTACAGAAACTTCAGAAAGCATATCAGTGATTTGTGTATATGGTGATAGCCTTGTCTTTTCCCCAATAGAGTGCTTGAGTCAAAGCTAAAAGCTCAGCTCACTGAGGTTTTCCTGCTTAAAGATTGTGCCCAGATAGCCTTACTTTATCTTGGGTCGCTACTGCTGCCCTTGCATCCTGGTCTGTTCTTGTACGAAACTGCTCCTATCTGTAACCAATACTTGTTTAATGTCACCTACAGGATATCAGTCAGATCAGGCCTGTTAGACTGGATCAGATCAGTTAATCAAGTTATGCAGGGGGCCCACAAGGTCCTTGTCTGGCAGGGGCCTGGCAGGGTTGAAGACTAATGTCTTGTGGAACCGAATGTGTGGTTGATTCAAAAGCAGGGCTTGGTATTGGGTCACCTGGGTGTGCTGTGGGATGGTCTTTCTGTACACTGTGAATATGTTGCTCTTGTTGGTTGATAAATAAAGCCGATTTGGCCTGTAGCCAGGCAGAATAAGTCTGGATGGGAAAGAAAACTTAGATACAGGGAGAAGGAGGGCAGAGTCAGAGAGATGCCAGCCACCCACCCAAGGATCACGATGCTAGAACACCATTAAGCCATGGGTCATGTGGCAATGCACAGATCAACAGAAATGGGTTAATTTAAATGTAAGAGTTAGTTAGTAATAAGTCTGAGCTACTGGCCAAACATCTATAATTAATATAAGCCTCTGAGTGATTATTTGGAAATGACTTTGGGATTGGGTGGGACAGAGAAAAGCCTCCATTTACATGGGTGTTAGACATTCATCTCTCAGGTATTCCCCTCAAGAGGACTTCAACAGAGTGTGGAGTTGTCAGGGACAGTTCTTGTCCGAAAGTTAACTTGTCAGCTTCTTTTACTAACAGGAGAGTGGCAACCATGGCCCTTAAACATGCTGGCCATCTGGTTGAACTGAATCAAGTCTCTTGGACAGATATGCCATGCTGGAGACCTGCTCCAGTGGAGGTTCAGGTCCCAAAAAGGTTATGTGGAGAGTGGTAGGTGGGATGGAGACGGACACGATCTGAGGGTGAATCGGGATGGCTACTAGCAAGTTTATTGAGAAAAGAATACACCTTTTATACTCTATTGTTATGTGACTCCACAAGAGTCTGTTAAAAGACCTCAAGAATTTAAATGGGGATCATACACTCACAGATGCAGAACGAAATAAACGCTACTGATTATCCAGCTGTTGTTGTCTTCAGTTCTGCCCAAGGATGATAGGAACCAACTGCAAGCTGCTCCACACCGCCTGACCTGGTCCTCGCTCCCCACGAGAGAATGTGACCCCCCCTTAAGCAATCACATACACAGACAAAAACACGCCCATTGAGTCAGATACGCCCAAAGCGATTGGTTGAATGGGATGAGTTTCCATAACACTCTAGAGTTGCAAATAGGATTAAATAGGAGAAAGTAGGCATGTGAGCTGGGGTGTGGCTTAAGATCAAGGGTTGAGGAGGCCAGCGTTGACCCTGACAGTGGGCACCAGTCATTCATCAATGGAAGGGCCTCTTGCTAGAGACAGAATGTCTGCCTTTTTAGCAAGCAGGAACTTTCTTCAAGCCTCTGAGGGAATGTGGACTTTTGTCTACATGCCTGACCTTGGGAAAAGAATATTTTGGAGGGATGAGACCTCCATTACAGAATACTGCAGTTGTTTTATATGGCTTAGTTTATCCAAATAGCTAAAGCTTAAAAGTGAGCAAAGATGAAATGAGACAAGTATTACTGTGAATCTGAGTAGACCTGAGGAATTTATACATCTTGATTATCAAATATACCTTGTTTATCAAACAAATCTTATTTATCACTTATACCTTATTTATCAAGCATATGTTACTTATCTAAATTTTCTAGCACCTTCGTGTTAACTTGTATGGGAGTAGCCAGAGTTATATGGTTTTGTAAGAGCCAAAGTTACATTTTAAGTTTTAATTACTATGCCTTAGAGATCCATAAAACAAAAATGCCTCTGATCCTTGTCCAAGGACAGATAGTTCCTGAAATGCTGGAGGCTATTGTTTATGGGAGTTAACAAGCCACAGGTTTTCACTCCCTTAAAGAAGTTTGTTTGACCCATAGGCACCAGATGTGCTTGGTCACATGTGGGCAAGAGGTATGTAGGCAGGAAGTACATCAGGATGTATGCTTGCCCCTGATTGGATGTAGGCAGGAAGTATGTCAGGATGTATGCTTGCCCCTGATTGGATGTAGGCAGGAAGTATGTCAGGATGTATGCTTGCCCCTGATTGGACTTGATGGGAAATACTTAAGCTGATGCAAATTGTGATTCGGGGCCATTTTCCTGGGAAACCAGGTATGGGCCTAGTCAGAGCCCATCCACCTGGCCAGTAGTTAATTAAAGCTGCTTCTAATTTGGATTTAAATTGTGGTAGTGGTCATTTTCTCAACCGATGGGATTAACATTTCCATGGTGGTGGAGGGGATTTTTTTCCAAAGAATTATTTTGTTTAGAGAGGCTACCATTATACACATTTTTATACTTCACTAAAGCCCACACAAGATTTCCCAGATGGAAAGGCATAATAATGAGAATCATTAAAAATGAAAGTAAAGGGGTGCTGGAGAACTGTGATCTGCAAAGTTGAAACGCTAGAACTTTGTCAAGTAGCAATGGTCGCCATGTGATCCATGCCAATCCCACTAGTCTTTTCCAGGGTCCCAGGGTTTGCATGAGGACCCCCTAGGCATTGCCTCTGGCTTCATCTTCATATGTACAAGTGGGAATGGAAGGGCTTAGTATAGTCTGGGAGGGCCCAGACTGGAGCAGACACCATTTCAAGGCCTTGAAGGCCCTCTGTTCAGTCTCAGTCGGTTCCAAGGGTTGTATACCTCTGGTCCTGGCAGAGAGGGGCTTGGCTGTCTGAGCAAATCCTAATATGCACAGCCAGCAGTATCCAACCACCCCTAGGAATTCCCATATTTGTGTTTTGTTTTTCACTGTGGGAGCAGAGATTGCAGGATGGCTGAAATATGGTCATGGAAAGCAGCTGCTTCCCTTTCTCTAGGTTAGAGCCTAGGTATATGTCCTGAGGGGCACACAGCTGAGCCTTTTGGGTTGAGACTCTGTACATCCGGGCTTGGGCTCACAACAGTTCTCAAAGCACGGGTCATGACCCCTTTGTGGTTTGATTGGCTCTTTCACAGGGGTTGCCTAAGACCACCAGAAAACACAGATATTTACATTATGATTCATAACAGTAGCAAACACTCTCTCTCTCTCTCTCTCTCTCTCTTTCTTTTTTTCTTTTTCTTTCTTTTTTTTTTTTTTCCGAGACAGGGTTTCTCTGTGTAGCTTTGCGCCTTTCCTGGAACTCACTTGGTAGCCCAGGCTGGCCTCGAACTCACAGAGATCCGCCTGGCTCTGCCTCCCGAGTGCTGGGATTAAAGGCGTGCGCCACCACCGCCCGGCTTCTTTCTTTTTTTCAAGACAGGGTTTCTCTAACAGCTCTGGCTGTCCTGAAACTTGCTCTGTAGACCAGGCTGGCTTCGAACTCACAAAGATCCACCTGCCTCTGCCTGCAGGAGTGCTGGGATTAAAGGCATTGTGCCAGTAGCAAACTCTTGTGTTATAAAATAGCAACAAAAATAATTTTATGGTTGGGGATCAGCACAATATGAGGAACTATATAAAAGAGTCGTAGCATCAGGAAGGTTGAGAACCTTGGAGGGTTTCTAAAAGGCCTTCTACATTCCTCCTCAGTGGTCAAAGCTATCAGGAGGTCATCTTCACATGGGAGCATAGCGGATGCTACTGTCTAAATTCCAACAGATCTTCACTCAGGGCTTCATCAAACAATGTTGGCGAGTTTCTGTTTTGATTTGAAAGCCTTTTTCCTGGTCTATTTCCCTATTGTCTGTTTCCCTAAGGGCAGCGACCACCGGTTTATTTCCCTGTCTTCAGCTGAACACCCTCTAACCTTAAGACAGTTTCCAACAGGCTGATAAGGGCCTGTGGCTTCTCTGAAAACGGAGGGTTTGGGGGTCTTCCATTTATACAAGTCAGTGGTAGAGAAGTGAGGCATAAACCACGGATGAGGGAAGAGTTGGCCTTCCACCCCCCACCCCCACCCCACCCCCCACTTAGCATTCAGGCACTTACACTGGCCTCCTCAGGGTCCTGACAGGACAGTCATCAGCCCCAGCTGCTGCGTAGAGCGCTCCCTTTGCGCATGCGTTACACTCCCTTCTAAAGGGCAAGCCCTCCCCCACCCCTTGCCTCCGGGAGACCGCTTCTGCGCCCCCCCCCCCCCCAAACCTCCCACGTGAGTTCTGTTGTACGGTGTGACTTCCCTTCTGCGCCTTTAAACGACAGCACACACCTCTGGGGGAATTAACTTCCCTTCCCCTGGGTGCAGTCAGTTGCTTACAGCAGTGCAAAGAGCAGAGCTGCTGGGGAACCATTTCTCCTCCCTGCAAGCACTCTGAGGCCTCCCCACCTCCACTCAGAACACCATCAGGCTGGACCCGTGACTCAAGGAGCCACCAGCGAGTGCTTCTGGTGGGGCTGGCAGGTTTTGGGTTTCTCTGGGCTACATGGCCCAGCCAAAGGGATTCAGGTGCCTGCTGACCCGGGGAACCTAAGAGACAACACCCACAGAGAGAAGAACAGACGCGACTAAGAATTTGGATAGACAGTCAACTTCCTTCAAGAACTTGGGAGATGCCCCAGAGGTGGGAGTTGCAGAGGAGCAGATCTTTCATTGGCTCGCTGGGGGACCTCCCCTTCTTCCTCACTGGATCCAGCCACCAGTTCTTTGTGATGGTTTCTGCGTCCTCAGGAGTGCGGAAACAAATCCTCTAAAAAGGGCCAGTCCCTGTTTTCCAGATGGGCCACATGCCTATAATTCCATCTTGACAGGAGAGGCAAGGCACAAAGTTCAAGGCTGGCCTCAGATACACAAGGAGACTGAAGGGACCCAAGTACTGTGGGGTGCTTCCCTCTGGTCCCCGGATTAGCCATAGACCACACCCAAACATCAATTTCCAAGCACAAACCTAACACAAAGAGATCCTTTATTAAGCAAGACAAAGAGTCAGGAGGCCGAATCCGAATCGAATAAAAAAGCAGTAATGTTCAGAGGGAAACTGGGGGTGGTGGTGTCTGTGTTAGAAGGAGCTAGGCCGTTTTGCTAAGTTCTGATTGGGTATTTTAATTAGGTTAGTCAAAACAATGAATTTTGATTGCTAGCTCTTGATGTTTCGATAATTGGACCTTGGTGGTCAGTCTCAGGAATGAGTCAGTGGCCAAATAAGGGAACAGACCTTGGTGGCTAGCCTTAGGAATGCAACCTAAGGGTTTAGCCAGGGGGAGGGGAAGGGAAGGGAGGGGAGGGGAAGGGCAAACCCGGCATGCTTGGGCCGCTAGAGACTTCAGAGAATCTGCCTCAAAATCCCCAAATACTAAAGGTGAAGGTGGCCTCAAAAGTTAGTAGACAATTTTACATTAAAAAAAAAAAAGCCAGACATAGTGGTTACACCTTTAATTCCAGTACTTGGGAATCAAAGGCAGGTAGATGGCTCTGAGTTTGAGGCCAGCCTGAGAGACATAGTGGTTCCAGGTCAGGCAGGACTGCATAGTGAGACCCTACCTCAACAAAACAAAACAAACAACCAACCAAACAAACAAAAAAACTCCCTCAATACTAAAACTTATAGGAGGTGGGAGTGTAGCTCAGTGGTACCGTGTATGCTAATCTCACATAAGGCCCTGGTTCCATCCCCAGCACCAAAAATAATAATAAAACAGAATCAGACTTCAAAAGTGTATTAGTTTTTTGTTAACTTGACACAAACTGTGGTCATCTGGGAAGAGGAAACCTCAATTAAGAAGATGCGGCCATCGGATTTTCTTGATTAATGATTGATGTGGGCGGGTCCAGTCCTCTGTGGGTGGTATCAGCCCTGGGCAGGGTCCTAGGGTATAAGATGAAGCAGGCTGAGCAACCACGTGAACCAAACCAGTAAGCAGCACTCCTCCTTGGCCCCTGCTCAGTTCCTGCCTCCAGTTTCCTGCCTTGAGTTCCTGCCCTGACTTCCTTGGCTGTGACCTGGAAGTCCTTCCCTGACTTCCTCAGTGATGAACTGTGACCTGGAAGTGTAAAATTGCAACAAATCCTTTACTTTTCAGGTTGCTTTTGGTCAGGGCTTTACCACAACAAGATAAAGGAAACTAATACAGAAATTGTAATTTATATTAAGAAAATTTAATATATTTAAAATGGATACAGCAATAATTTTTATAAATCCCCATAAGGGAAAATTATCCCTAACTACTCTAAGCAGGAAATAGTACATTGACAGCACTTCCTGCTCCCCAAACTCAGCCCCCAAGAGTACCACTCCTCACTGGATGTGGTTGTTTGACTTAGGCTTCTGACTGGATACAAACTGGTGTTTCCACAGCCCCTTCCTCAGGGTGATTATTTTGCTGGAATGTCTCACAGTATACAAGGGGATACTCAGCCTACTCAGGTTTTTTTTTGTTTGTTTTTGTATTTTTTTTTTTTTAACTTTTTTACTTTTTTGAGACAGGGTTTCTCTGTGTAGCCCTGGCTATCCTGGAACTTGCTCTATAGACCAGGCTGGCCTCAAACTCACAGAGACCCACTTGCCTGTGCCTCCCAAGTGCTGAGATTAAAGGTATGTACCACCACTATTACTGCCCAGTTGCTTTTTCTTTTTTTTGAGACAGGGTTTCACTGTGTAGCTCTGGCTGGCCTGAAACTCACTCTGTAGACCAGGCTAGCCTCACACTCACAAAGATCTGCTTGCCTCTGCTTGGAATAAAGGTGAGTGTCACCACACGTGGCTCTTGACTGTCTTTATAAAGGGTGCTGTCACACAGGATACAGATAAATTCGTGCATAGAGCAACATACTGGGAAAGGAGTTGGTTTTAAATGCGGCGCTTTTACTGTTTGAGGAAAGGGCAGAGGCACGACAAAACCCAGTATCAGAGCTTTATTAGGAGGAAGCGGGGTGGGGTGGGGTGGGGGGGAGACACAGAACAGAGCCTGGCCAAGCCTGGGGCAGGAGAGAGAGAGCAGGTGGCGGGGTTGGGGGGAGGGGTGGTGGTGGGGGCGGGGAAGAGCAGAAGATGAGGGAGGAGTCTGTGTCTGGCTTTTTAAGGATTCCCCTGCACATGCGCAGGTGGGCTTACGGAGCTACACCGCGCATGTGCTGATTGTGTGACTGCACTGCACACTGATGACCTAAGACCCCTCGCTTAGCTACTGAACTGCACATGTGGGGTTATATACCTGGAGTGGCAGAATCCTAACAAAAGGGCACAGAGCTGCCCTGTGTCCTGAGAATACCAGTTACCAAGGAACTTGCACATGTTTAGCTGTTGGGATAGTTTATGAAACCTGTCTCTAGAGTTTCAAGGGGCATTTAATTGTATAATAATGACAGAAGCATAGACAACCATGTTGGAATGTGATTGGACAAAAAAGGTATGATATGTTATGAAACTGTCAAGGAACAAGTTTCTGGTTTTGAAAAGGTATTATCTAACTGGGTGGGGAGATCCAGCCTGTCCTGTCCACGTTAGCATTTTGGCCTCTCTGGGCTGTGAACTCCCTCCAGGGTATGAGGCAAGACTTCTCTGGAATGACTTAGGCCATACGTACGACCTCTTAGCAGACAGAGGTAGGTTCGATGAATTCTTTATAGTTAGCTCCAAGGCAGAAAGGCAGATAGGATTAGATTTCCGTGACCTGCTATGGGGCACCAACATTCTAGTTCCTACGGCCTGTCTTGAGGAGGCAGCAGGGAGTTGTAAAATAGGAACCATGAGTGAAAACCCCCAAAAATATATGTCAAAATTTGACAACATCCGAGCGACCTCACTTAGGGGAGGTAGCAAAAGGAGGAAGTGACTAATATGTCTAAAAATGTCCTGAAGAAAATAAATGGTCTGTGGGGTACTGTGGCTTGGCTGGTCCCAGACACTGAATGGAAATATGGAAAATTTGAGAAAGGCCATGTATAGCATGGGTCGGGTGGTGGTAGAGACACCCAGGAAAGCACTCTACCTGTTGATCTCTAAGTGTGGTTCTGGCTCCCCTAGGTCTTCAATATCAAATCCATTTTTCTTTAGTTTTGAACTCCTCCCAGGTCTTTCCTAGCTAACAGACAGGAAGAGCCTGGGTTCACTGGTATGCTTGAGCCCGCTGTCACTGACTAAGCTCTGCCTGCAGTCAATTCTTCCACACTCCGTGTTCAATGACACAGTCTCAGCACTCTGAAGTCCACTACAGTGTCTTATTGGCAAATGCTGTAAATCATGCCTTCGCCAGTCCATCAAACACAGCCATGCTTCCCTGAACACATTACTGTTGAAGGGACGTTTTCTTATTGGGAGGAGAGATAGTACAGAGAAAAACCTTCAAGTATGTCCTGGACAATGTATGGGGCTGAAGGATATGGAAGAGAAGGAAGCACATGTCGAGGAAATGGACAGCCTTCTTAGGAGGTAGTTTTGTGTAGCTAAATTTAATTTAGCTAAGACCTTTGACATGAGACAGGAAGAAGCTGTAAATCTCCTTCTCCTCTTCTTGTCTTAAAGGTTTATTTATTTTTATCTTATGTGTTTGGGTCCTTTCCCTGAATATGCCTGTGTATCACAGGCAAGCAGTGTAGAAGAGGACATTACATCCTCTGAAACTGGAGTCAGGTTATGTGAGCTGCCATGTGAATGCTGGGAATCAGCTCTCCAGTCTCCTGCAAAAGCAGTCAGGGCTCTTAACTACTGAAACGTCTCTTCAGCCCCATGCTTTTTTTTTTTTTTTTTTTTTTTTTTTTTTTTTTTTTTTTGGCTTCTAGTTAAATTAACTATCAACCCTGATAAAGACACTGCAAAAATCAACTCCAGGGAACATGACCACTTACAAATTTAGGTGTGAACATTGAATGTATTACTAAATATAAACAAGTAGTTCATAATTCAGTATCCATAATAAAGAATATCTGTTTAAGATTTGATATAGGAATTCAAGGATAGTTTAATATCAGGAGAGCTATCAAGATAGTCATCAACACGTTAAAAAAATCAGTTATTTTGAAGGAATAATTGACAAGTTTTAGTAGTCACTCCCCATAAAACACTGGAACAACTGAGATTTTTGATTATATTAGAATTAACTCCTCTTCATCAGATGCCATATACCAAGCGGACATACAACCTAGGGACAGAGAA